TGCAATGCAAAATCCCCTTTTGAGATCAGGAAAAAAGAGGCATTCAGGAGGCAACAGTATCACTTCTTGAACACTTGTAATCTAGTTGTCAACTGCTCTTGGAAAAGTGATCCACCACGGATTTCCTTTCAGAGGGCGGTAAAGTCTGCTGCCTATGTGAACCTACCCTAAGAGGCAATTCCCCCCTACCCTAAAAGAGTATTCCCCCCTACTTTGTAGAGATTTCATTTTACTTCCTGTTGCATCTCTGGGATAGGAAGTGAAGGGAAACCTCCATGACTGCACACAGACAGTAAAAAATAAACTGATGGTTTTGAACCCTTATCTACTATATCCCAAACTAAAAAGCCCAAAGTTTTTGGCTTTACATTGACTTCGATTTTGGCACTCACCTTGTGCAGCTGCCTTTTCTCTTTGCTAAATCCCTATGGCTGCCAGTTTTCTTTTTCTGAAAGGCTCTCTATGTGAACCAAGAAAGTGGCAGATGTGACCTAGAACAACTGCATGCTACATCCCAGTTGTTTGGTATCCAAGCAGATATTGTTCAAATCTGAAAGTTAACAGCAGCACACAAAGACTGAGTGTCAGAATACAACCAGAATAAACCTTTCCTTCTTATACTTCCCATCTGCATAGGGACCTTACCACCTGAGACCATAGAAAGTTCAGGGAAAGCAGGGAAAAAATACATGTAACATGTAGTAATGGCTTACCTAGTTTATTTCTTTATATCATAAAAGCTGAGAGCTTTTAAAATGTCATATTTGTCCGATCTGTTGATACTTTATACTGTCATAATGAGCACCTATATATGAAGGAAACAGTGACATTTACTATTTAGAATACTTCTGAATATATCCAAAGTTCTAAGAGAATACAAAGACATTAGCCACCTAGTCTTCAGCATCACGTTCAACATCATCTGCATGGTGCAGGCAGTCTTAAAATAAAATGACCTAATTAAGTCAAGGATGTCCTGCTGAATTCATAAAAGTTCTTAGTTCAGAGTAGGACATCTGGGATGATGCTCTAGCATGATAAATGTGTTATAATTATAATAGTTTTTATACTTTAACCTTCGGGACAGGAGAAGACGGTGTGGAAAAAACAGGATTGTAGGTATGTTTGTGATGGGTTTCTACTCTTCTCAGTTTTGTACATTATGCTCTTAAAAAATGTTTAAAAAGATACCATTAAAAAAAAGACACTGATACAGGTTCTAAATGTATTGCGGATGTATAGAAGTTGATTTAATGTGACCTGTGAAGTGGCTGTAGAAATGATTAATCCAACTTCATGTACCAGGACTGTGCTGTGGGTCAATGAACACAAACATTTGGCATGGCTGAAAATGATGGAGGAAGGAGGTGAGCAGTTCTGGTATGGCCAGCATCACTTCTCTCAGGGGAACATTTGTTGTTTGGGCATGTTTTCCAACCTGTCAAACCTGTTCCCTCCGTCAGTAGCAGGCCAGGTAGGTCAAGGCCTCTTATAGACATGATATTGGTGGGTGATCTGGTGGAAAGTCTCTAGGTCTAGCCCTGCCACTCTATTTACTGCTGGCAGCAACATTGCTCTTTGTCGTCACGTGTGTGTCTGTTACTTTATACTTTCATTGCAAGTGCCACAGCACATCACAGTTCATATATGTTTAGAAGACTGTGTTTCACTTGTTTGGACCTCACTTAAAGTGTAGTTCCACTTTTGAGATCAAATTTGAGAAAACCCCATTTAGGTTTGTTATTTGTTCCTATTTACACAGTAAATCTAAGGACGAAAATAACAATGATATACTCACCTGAACCTCACGGCCTGCTGGCTCCTAGAATGGCCCCCTGCAGGCCCTCTTAGCTCCAGCAGTGAAATGCCCCTCAGTGTCTTCACGTCCAATACACTGTAAATAACTCACAGGACCTTAGGCTGCTGGAGCAGATGGGGAGCGAGGCTGAAGGGACCAGTCTAATAGCCAGCTGGCTCTGAGATTCAGGTGAGTAGATCTTTGTTATTTTTGTCCCTAGATGAAAATGAGCACTTAACTCTTGCAGTGTGGGGGTAGCCCCACTGCCAGGGTTAAACCCATTTGTGCACAGAGTTCTCCTTTAAAAATGTAAGAAGCAATATTTAAATATGTAAAAGTTATGCTACGTGAATGGGAACATGTAAGAAATCTAAAATAGATGTTATCCCAATTCTGATGGAAAAGTGGAAATACACTTTAAACTGGCCATACATTTATAACATTTCAGCCAATTGCTTCTAGATTGGCTGAAATTCGGTCCATGTATGGCCCTGCCGACACCACCCAGTCAATTGACTTTTGCCAAAGGAGTCGGGTGGAAAATTGTCGGGCGAATATTGATTTTAACCAATCAGCTGCAGTCACTGTTAAGGTATGCTGACAGCCACGGGCACCAGGAGTCAAAATATAATAGGCGGCAGGGGAGAACTCCCAATCTGTGCTGTTTAGTGTGGGTGAGGGAACCTTTTTTTTCCCAGCCCTAAATGTAGTTCACTCTGTAAAGCCATAACAAAACTCTATTTGCCCTTTTCTGTTTCTCTATCTCTCTCTCTCTCTCTCTCTCTCTTAAGTCTCTTGAACAAAAAAGTTTATCTCTTGGTACACAAAGTAAAATTACTTTTGAAGTTCCCTGAGTGTGTACTTCTTTCTAGATGTTAGCGTAGATTAGAAGAGACAATAGTTTTTGATGTTCTAATATCATTCCTCAGCTGCCAGAGAGCTGCTAAGTAACAGCATTCAAGGCACAACCGGAGGAGAAGGTACCGACAGACTCCAAGCACCTCGCACCTCTGCATTTATCAAATACCAGATACTAAATATTTACACAGCACGGCCTGGCGAGCTTCATGTTCCCAGGACTTGTGTGATTAGGACTGATGATAACAGTGTGTGGCTCAATAAAAACACACTTACCAGTTTATGTGTGTGCCATATTTATGTGTAACTTCTGAAGGTCAACTAATGTATAGACTGGTTGGGTCACGCAACACCTCTGGGTCATGGATGCAGAACATCTAATATTTAACAGACACCGCTATCGAATCTGATGCTGGACCTGAACAATCCAGACCTTCTGGTACCAGCAGCAGATCTGGATTCTGTAGCTAGCAATAGAATTGGTCGTTTTGGAACTACATATATGCCCCATTGGGGCTCTCAGGTCGCTTTTTTTCACATTCTGTCCATGTAATTTCCTGCTAGAGATCTGTTGGCCTTGAATTTCAGTGACCAAATTATAAGCATTCCTTTGCTGATTAGCATGCATGCTGGCATCCAGCTTTCTATATAAAGCAAATATGGAACAAAAGGGGGCACCACTGCTGATAGTAGAGTCCAGTATGGTATTTTATTTATAAAGATCAATAGAATAAGACAGCCAATGTGTTTTGGGGTTCACAATATCTCCCTTCTATATTTGGTTACGCTTGAAAACGCTTATTTTGATTGGGGGTCCTTTGTTTTGTGTGGGAGCAGCCGCTCCAAGAACAATGGACACTTCAAAGAGGCCATGCTTGATGTCAACGCAAATAAAAAATGGGGTCCTTTGCTGTAGTATTTCAATGTACCATTTCACACTTGAAGATTTGTTGTGATCCTGTTATTAAATTTGAACAGGACTCCAGTCTATATAAAGTAGTCAGGCATGCATTCATGAACTTTGGTTGATGCATTCCTATATCTTTTTTGGGTACAGATGCCAATTCTTTAACTTACCTTTTTTCATGCCACAGCTGGACAGCAGTTTGCGCTCACCACAACAGCTTAGAGAAAACCAATATAGAAAAAAAGGTTGACTTTGGTTGCTATTTAACTCCTGAAAATATGAATTGCCTGGCTGTCATGTATCTCCAGTGGACCCAATGCATGGATCATTGACCTGAGACAAAGATACAGATCAGGGATTCTGACTCCAGCTGCTGAATATTTTTTTGTTGGTTGTTACTTATAAAGAATTGATACTGGATCCATCAAGGCAATTAAGTGACAGTAAACTCAGGAGTTAAACCTTAAAAATACATTCAAGTACTCTAACTATTGCCAAAAATGTAACTTATTTGTGTATCTGTTCCTTAGAAACCAAATAGTAAGAGCCAGTGCTCACCACAGAATGAAGATCAAATATAAACATTGGAGAGGTGTCATTGCTTCCTTTATTCATTCAGCCGATACTGTAGTTCCTTATGGAGGGTGGCTACTTTGTTCCCTATGGTCCCTGTGTGTTGTAAAGTAGTCACCACTCCAAGCTCTCTCCTGTGATGGACTACAATCTCAATACAAATTAGTAAACTAAACATGAGTTTGTAGTCCATCACAGGAGTGAGCTTAGAGTGATGGCTATTTTACAACACACACACAGGGACCATGGGGAACAAAAGTAGCCACCCTCCATAAGGAACTACAGTATCGGCTGAATGAATAAAGGAAGCAATGACACCTCTCCAATGTTTATATTTGATCTTCATTCTGTGGTGAGCACTGGCTCTTACAATTTGGTTTCTAAGGAACAAAGATGTGAATCATTTGGGGTTCCTGAATCACCTTTTGGGACCCCATGATAAATTCGTAGTTCTGCTCAGCCTCCATGCTTGAAAAATGTTAGACAATTATGATGATGGAAATCTTTCTGTTGAAGTTGCATTGTAAGACACGGAAGTGTTCACTTTGGGAAAACGGCCGTAAAGGTCACAATCTAAAAGCAACAATTACACAATCTGTCAGCCGTGGAAACAAAACCCAGTCCCAAAAGCATGACTGCCCTGTTGAGAGTTAGTTCTCACACCGATGGAAAGTGGCCAAAGTCACAGGGGCCTTCTGAATGGAAGCTCTCACGTTCCAAGGTGAACACAAGAGGCCAGTCTGTGAGGAGAGATGTAGTGTATTTCATTCACCTGAGAGAGTCTCTTGAAAGTTAAGTATACTGTGTCTTTTATGTCTCCACAATTTTGAAACCTGCTCTGTTCCTTCTTCTTTTTGTCAGGACTGAAGAATGATGGCTGCTGGGAAATTTGCCAGTTACCATAGAAATGTGCAAACGAGCCATCAGTTCCCACTGACATCTTCAATGGATCTTCTAAGCAGCAAATCCCCCCTTGCTGAGCGGCGGGTTGATTCATTTCAGGATGTTTGTATCCATGGTACATTACCTCGTAAAAAGAAGGACAGGATTGCCATTAGATCCACTGACATGTTCAGCCACATGGGAACCTTGCCACATAGCAAGTCACCCAGACTACCTACCCCGATCATGCCGGATATATTAGAGGAATATCCGTTTCAAAACTGGAAAGCTGGAGTGTTCAAGAAAACAAGGTAATGTGGTAAATACAGACTGAAGTACCTGTTTAAAAAATGTTTTCCTGTTGTTTTTATTTTTTTACTTTGCACGTATTTGTTAAACTACTTGTTACATAATTTGCACAAAAAAATTGTATACATAAAAAATGACTGTTCTTTTACTACAGTTATCCTTCAAATAACTTGCTCTTCCTAATCCTACACATACCTGTTCTAATTTTTTGGAAGCATTACAGTCGCTTCACAGAATGCCTCCCAGCCAAGCTGTGTATGATTTCTATGGAAAAGCCATTCACTATTGGCACTAATGGTAACCATCCTTTTAATGGGAATTCTACCATGTATGCCCTGATGTGAAAATTTGGTAAAGAGGCTGTGCGTTCTTTAACAAGCCCTACAGTGAAGATTTATGAGAAGTGGGGACAGATGAGTGTAAAGCTGGCCACACACTGTTATATTTTCTTTTATTAAACCTGCAGGCTGAACAAAGAAAATAGGAAATTGTAGGAAATTCCTCCATCAACACTTACGAGCGTGGATGGAGAAATCACCAGATCTTTTCATTGTATTCTGATGGTGGCCGCTGTCAGATTACTCAAATACTCAGCCGATTGGCTGCAAGGTACATTTAGCCGAAAAGATATTTCAACTGGCTCCTTTGATCCACTGATCAAGGGATGCTGGCTGTAAGGTTGCTGAGCTATTGTGCGGATTTTGGCTTGTTCATCAAGAATCGGCTTAAATTTGCATAGTGTATGGCCAATTTAAGATCTAGAGTGTGGGGGGTACTTGAAGGTTAACTGTAATAAAACCACAAAAAATAGCCCATTTAGATTGTGCTACCTGCTGCTGGTTTCTTCAGAACAGAAGCATGTACACAATGTTCATGGTTCACATGTTCATGCGTATATTGATGGTAGGAAGGATTTTCTATTTTGTGGAGGAGTAGCCTATCTCAGACCACTTTCAAGTTTCATGTAGAAGTATTGGTCAAGCCCCCTTGTACCCAGGACCCATAATGCTGTGTGGGCAGCTATTTGCTCCCTGATACTAGCTACATTTATTGCCAGGGTCAGATTCCTATTTTCATACTTTTCATCAATTGAAATAAAAACACCATTACTACAAGCATTAGCATAGAGTTAGGAAGTTACAAATGTAGTAACAAGATCCAATAAGTAAATGAACAGTGCCACCACCTTTTGTACTGCTGGATATTAAATTCACAGAGATTTTTAAGGTTGGGATCATTTATTCTTGTATTCATCTCTGTAATGACCATAGAAACACTTATATCTCCTGGAATTTTCTAGTTGGTAAGAATTTCTAACCTTCTCGTGGATCAAAGTGGAGGTCCGCAATAGCCACAAGAAAGCTTGCAGCATCCAGTACAACCTCTTGTAAATTCCAACTCATTGTACTTCAGCTTGTCTTCTGTATTGTGGTCCATATAGTCCTCCTTGAAGGCAGCTAAAAATATCTGATGAAAGACAAGAGGGCAGAACAGTCTTACAGAGTGAGACAGTGCTGTGAGTCAAGGTATCTCAACAAATTTTTACAAGTTGGTGAGATGACTTTAAAACCACAGAGCTGGTTAGGAACTTTGACTGTAAAACACAGACAGAAACCGCCAAACTCCTTGTGTGGGGGGTTAATGGAGCACAAAAGCTCTGTTATGGTCTTTTCCAGCAAATGGGTAAACATCTACCTGATGGTCTTCTGCTCTGTAGCACAGAACACACACTGAACTATTCAGCTACTGCCTGTTCAGTCTAGTCTGTAGATTTATTACACAGGCAACTTAAACTGTGACCAGAAGCTGAAAATACCAGATGTTATCAGAAAACAGCAACTGGAGCGTGCTTCTATGTAATAATTATCTCCTCCCAACCTGAGAGGTCAACCAGCCAAAATGTGAATGGCTCTTAGAAAAATTCTGAAAGTCCTGTTCAGTCCAAATTTAATAACAGGATCACAACAAATCTTCAAGTGTCAAAGGTACATTGAAATACTGCAGCACAGGACCCCATTTTTTCTTAGTTGACATCAAGCATGGCTTCTTAATATGCATGATGCCCACTGGAACTCGGTTTGCTACACTACACTAATGGTGGAAGCTTGTAAAATGTCAGCGGTCTGTTTTGGTTTGACCCAGAACTGAATGATTCGCAACCATTTGTTCTTGTGGAAGATACACTTTCATCACTACTTTGCCGCTATGGTCTCTTCTCTGACAGCTTCCATTCAAATGTAGAGATCATTGTAGGCAAAATGTATTTTTTTTTTATCCTAGTTTTGGATAGAGTAGGAAAGAGAGAAATTGTCGCTGGTAAAAGAACTGAGGGAAAATGTTAGTAGCGGAGACAAATGGCATTAATAGCCTGACAGGGGTCCAACACCTTCCCCACTCTATCCAAAACAAAAAAAAAAGTATTAGATGGAGCTGGGCTTTAGAGAAAATGCACAGTGGCCTCCCAATAGAACAGCACACTAGGCATATGGGCTGGTATTCTCATGGATGGAACCATTATTTTTTTATTCTCAATTAACGGAACTATTATTTGTCCCTCATCAGCGGAGCCAGAAGCAAAAAAAAAAGTATAATTTCAGTCCGTGGGGAAAGAAGGCATAAAGGAAGCTAACATTTTTTTTTCACAGCTGCTGCATAGGGATTGCTAGGAAGCTGTGACACATGAAATGGAGCAATACAAATCTTACAACAACTTCTATGCACAAGAACAGTTATATGGAAAAGCATGAGGAATGGCATGACACTCATGAAAACCCATCTGCAGGCAAATTTTTCCCTAGCTTCTTTCCAACCAACACCACTTAAGATCCCAACATTAAGCAATTAAAACAAATTATAAAGCTGTTTTTTTTATTTAATATTTATTACAGGTATTTATATAGTGTTGTCCGTTTACTCAGTACTTTGCATACTATTCACATCAGTCCCCGCCCTCAAGGAGCTTACAATCTAAGGTCCCTATCTTATATGTATACATACATGAACGAACATACTAGGGCCAACTTAGATAGGAGCCAACCTACTAGCATGTCTTCAGAGTGGACGAGGAAACTGGGGTACCCAGAGGGAAACCCATGCAAGCACAGGGAGAGCATGCAAAACTCCATGCACATAGTGTCCTGACCTGGATTTTGTTATTTCTGAACTTGCAGTCACACTTTCCTTGCTGGTGACTTTTCCCAGAATACAGGCTGGCGTTTCAGCACTTCAGTCTGTTTCTGGTGACAACCATTCCCCTTATTGTAATGTGTTGTATTCCCCTTATTGTAACTGTGCCCAGTGTTCTGCAGCCTGGGAGCACCCCTGTCCCTGGACAGCCATGGGGAAGTATCCATGTCACCCAGGCAGCAATGTGTACACCCAAAGAAAGACTATCCCACTCTTCATTGAGAAAATGGGTGGACTTGGGATCTTACACATCACATGACATTGGATTTCTGGTAACTATTATGTGCTTTTAGAGTATTTTTTTATTTACTTTTGCTATTTGTTATAGTATGCAGGGATTTATTTGGGAAGGGCTCCTGGCCGGACTGGGACTTTTCTGAAATTGTCAGCTGTTAGATGCTTATAATTCCTGTGGAAATGCACCACACACAGTACTGTATAGATGCTTACCACCAGTGGTAGAAGTTCCACACAGCCTAATATGGCTGACTGCGAGAAAAAAGCCAGGCTCAGACATTTAAATGCAATGTGAATATTTTCAACCTCTTTTCTGGACTAGGAACTTAAACGAGAACTATGGGTTTAGGGCTTTTCCCCATAGTTCTAAGGGTAACGGGAGGACACAAACTAGCGTCCTCCCGTCACCCAAAGCTCAGTATACCGCGAGCTACAGCTCACGGTATACTGAGACACTGCAGCCAGAACGGATCCTGACAATTAGGTCTGGATCCACCCACCTATCTAAAGGCAGAGCTAGCTGTACCCGCCCACCTCCCCCGTCCGTTCCGCCAGTCAGCACTGGAGGATCGGACAGAGGAGGCTAGAACTATGAGGCTGAGTGAAAATCACTCACCTTATAGTTCTCCTTTTAACCATACTCAACTGTGAATGTAATTAGTAGGTGTTTGTATGTAAGTCAGTTTGAATTTTAGGTTACCTTGTTCTTAGATTAGGTTGGGTTGGCTTGTCATGAAAGGTACTATTTTTTTACAAGTCAACTTTCTTCTGTGCCATTAAATATAGCATCTTCTATACTTGCTCACATTTTCTAATATGACACACAGCTGATCAAAGTACTTTTAGTGCCGCTCACAGCATCAGCATTCTGCACGCCTCTCTTTTCCACAGTGGTCTGAATTTACTTTGGCACTTTGAATGACTTAGAGAGATTTGCAATGTGCATTACATCAGCATCATGGAAGCTGCACACAAACAAAAGGCGCTCATGAACTAATGATTTGGTTACATTGTGCTCTATCTGACATCAGCAAACTATAAACAAAGGCATATGTGAAGGACCTGGCAGGGTTTTCTACAGGGATGGCACTTGGTGAACAAACGCCACTTATCTTGGTGCCCAGTTTATTAAACATATTGGGAAATGGTCTTTTTGACAGACATGCTGTGTTCATATTGAAGAAGGACTTAAAGGGGTTCTAAACCCTCAGTTTTTTTTGCCTGTGTCTACTGCTAGCAAGCAGTAGATATATGCAAAAAGTAAAAAAAAAACGCTTTAACAGCGGTTTAAACTTACCTTGTTTTCGCTGCGCGCTCCCGCCCGAGAATCTGAAACTGTTCGGGCGGCCGCAAAGCATCTTGGGGCGGGGGCATGCGCAGTTCAGATTCTCGGCCGGGAGACGAGGAGAGACGCAAGGTAAGTCTATGGACGCGTGCACCCGCATGCAGACACCGCTGGATCGGAAGTGCCTGCAAGCAGAGAGGAGTCAGCGCTGGATCGGAGAGCCGCCGCACCGCTGGAGGGACAGATGAAAACATCAGGAAAGAAGAGGAAGATCGGATTAAGAGACATCATTTA